ATAAAATATAAGAATAAAATAAATAAAATAAAAATGTTAACTAAGTTAAAAATACTAATGATGTTAATAACGTTGATCATTCATCAATCTTTGTGACGCAGTAGGATTGACTTCATATAGTATCAACGAGTTTCAATATTAATAAAGGAATCATTCAAAACTTATATCTTTTTGCCTCTTCATATCTTCATATAGTCTGTTATAATCCTTACACACATTATTTGTAATTGAGTTCATCATTCGAATTCTTTAATTAAATTATTCATAATTTCATCTTTCAAGTCTTCATACTTGATAGATTTGTTTAAGTTTAATGTATACATTTGATAAAGTTAAGAGTTAGGCAAATTCTAACATCTTGACTATAGTAAATTGCAGTTAAAAATTTTGAGTAGAAGACTTGATAATGTGACTACTCTGAGTTGAAGAATTCCACAGTGATACCATATATCTTAAATTTAACATTAACTTTACAAGCTTATAACTAGTTTGTAAATAATATAAACTGATATAAAAATACTATTCATATTGTAAATTAAGATAAAAAAAAAATAGTTTTATGAAAAAAAAAATTTGTTTGTAAATAGTGATGTTAAATAAATAAAAAAAATTATATGAATTATGGTTATACAACATTTTTTAATTAAGGATTAGTAACTAATGAGATATCTCAGCTGACTGTTAAGAGATAATATTAAAACTTATATTTATAAAAGAATTAATTTATAATATATGCAAAAAGTTTATCTATTTAAATTAAATATGATCTTTATAATTATTTTTAAATTTCAATTAAGTTACAACTTAATTGTATCATAATAAAATTTAATTATATAATTCAATTGCATCATTTTTTTTGATTACAGTGCCTATCTTTAATTATATAAATTCTTTTATTATAACTAACTAATTGCTATACTATAAACTAATTAATTTAATAAATAAAATATATATAAATTAAAAATAATAATAATATGTAATAAAATAAGAAAATAATAAAAAGTAGAATATTAAAAATAAGTGTTATATCAAATATTTCTTAACTTTATTTAATTTATAGAATTAGAGTTATTATTAGTATTTAGAAGATTAATAAAATTTTATAAATCTTCTATATTTTTAATTTATAAAATTCTCAGAATTTTTATATTAAGAGATTGTTATATTGTGTAATTCTTATAATTTTATTTTTATTAATTACTTGCTTTATTTACAATATTTACCAACTATATTATTAACTTAAAATACTATTTGCAAATTTAAAAAATATTATTTTATAGTAGTGGCAGAAAATAACTGAAATATTACGTGATTTGATTAACATTACTTATCACTTTCTTTTTAGTAATTAAGTTTTTATTTTTTTTATGTAATTATTAAACTAACACGTAATCTACAATATAAATAAAAAAAAGTCATAAGATCAGCAAAAAAATTTTTTTATCCATCTTTTTTTTTCATCATGTCTAAAAAACTAACTTTAAACAAAAAACGATCATTTGTAAGCAGTTTGTAGACAAATAGAATTCATAATATTAATAAATTATATAAAATAACTCATATTCTGAAATCCACCCTATATACTTATGTCCCAAAACTTAAAAAATCTGGTACTATTAAATTAAAATCATATTCAGGAAGACCAAAACTTTTGTTTTCAAAAAAACGCATTCATCTTAGAAAATTAGCCAGCACAAGAAAATATGCAACTAGTAAAGAAATTGCTTTTACACTTAACCAAACATACCCAAACCTCAACATTACTTCTAGAACTGTCTAAGAAAATCTTTTTAAACTAGGTTATCATGTTTGTATACCAATTTAAATACTAATGTTGACTGGCATTGCCAAAGAACGCAGAGTTGAATGGGCAAAGTCTCATCTGAATGAAAACTGAAAAAAAGTCATTTTTTCTGATGAAACCACATTTTAGTTTTTTCGTAATACAACACTGGTAAGATACAAGATTGGAAAAGAAAAACTACAGCGTGCAGTTATAAAACATCCACTCAAAGTTCACGCATAGGGTGCTTTTTGTGCAAATAGACTTATGAGGTTTTATTGTTTTACTAAAAATATGAATAGAGAACTTTACCAGGATATTTTAACTAAAAATCTTTTTACTAGTACTACCAGGATCCTTGAAAGAAGGTGAACATTCTAACAGAATAATGATTCTAAGCACAGGGCAAAATTAATAACGATTCTTTTTCAAGAAAAATATCTGCAAATGCTTGATTGGCCATCTTATTCTTCAGACCTTAATCCTATAGAGAATTTATAGGCAATAATGAAAAAAAAGGTAAAAAAGAGGGTAAATCAATGTATAGTACAAAAAAAATCAGTTGTGTTAGATAATTTTTTGTTTATAATTCGGTTTGAATGGAAAAATCTTAATTTAGTCCTCTTATCGAATTTGTACGCAAGTATAAAAAAATGGTTAGAAGACGTTATTGAAAAGGAGGGTCAAATCATTAAACATTAAAAATTTATTTTTATTTTCTTATAGTATCATACTATATATTGTCAAAATTTTATATAAATAAAATAAATATTGGCTAAGAAATTTATAATTTAATAATTCTAGTTATTTTCTGCCACTACTGTAATATGCTAAAAATATTAAATCATTTTATTTTCAGCTAAATAATTTTTTGAATTTTATGAATTTGTACACTTCTACTTAATAAGCTTAAGACCATCTTTATGATTAATATAAATAATACTAAAACAGTAAACATTACATATTTATGCAATCTAAAATGAAAAGTATTTATTTATTTATGATATAATATTAATTAGTAAAGATTATTACATAAAACTTTAACCTTTTTTATTTTAAATATAAAATGGTTAAAAAAGAATTAATAGAATTTGAGTATGAAAAAATTATTAGATTTTATGAAATCAGTAATTCTAAAAGAACTATTTCAGTAAAAACAGACTATAATAAAATTACTATTTATAATATAATAATAAAATATCATAAAATAACTATTACTATTGCTTCTTAAAGTATTTATCCTAAAAAATTAATAGAGCAGGATAAATATTATTTTAAGATTATTATTAACAAAAACTGATATAAATCTGAAAAATAAATTAGAAGAATTTTTATTAAATCTACTAAAAATAATATATATAGATATACTATGCAAAAAACATTATATAAAATAGGCTATAACAGTTAAATAGCCCTTAAAAAATCTTGTATTAGCAAAAAAAATTGAAAAATATATTTAAATTAGATTTGTGAAAGGTGTTTATCAATTATAATTGATTGGAAAAAAGTTGTATAGAATAATGAATCAAGATTCACCTTATTTCAAATAATATAAAAATTTAGATATAATACCTTCAAAAAAAATGATATTAATTGTTTTGTTTAAACAATAAAATATGATAAAGATAGGATTATGATATGGGATATTTTTCATGATTTAGATTAGATCTTTTAGTTAGGATTGATGATCAAATTAATAGTTAAAGATATATAAAAGAGATAATTAGTTATCATATTATATTATTTTTAAAAAGTTTTAAAGAAGAAAATAATGATTATTTATTCTAGTAGAATAATACATCTATTTACACTAGTCAAGGACTAGAAATTTTATAAAAAAAATAGAAATGAACCTATTTCTTTAGTTAATATAGAGTTTTGATCTCAATCCTATAAAGTATTTATAAGATGAGTATAAGGGTAAAGAAAAATAATCCAAAAGATTTAGAAAAATTAAAGGCACTTTTTCAAGAATATTAATTGAATATTTTATATGAAAGTTTGTAAAAAGTATGAATTATAAAATTGAAGTAATTATTAAAGTTTATGAGCATCTTATAAGATACTAAGAAATATTTTTATTATATTTTCATAATGTAAGTTGTGAAAATTAAATTTTTATTAAATAATTTTAATATAACTTAATTTTTAATTTATAAAATTATAAGTTAAAAATCTTTTTTTATATTATATATAATAGGAAGTTTTATAAAAATAATTTATATATTATTTATATACAAATATTTTTTCTTTTTAAAAATTACGTGATATAAATATATGTCATATATAGTCAACTCTCTCTAAATACATCCTTTCTAATACTAGTCAAAATAGTCCATTTTGGTTAAAATTTGACTGTCTGATTTTAAGCTGAATTATGGCCTAAAGCTGATCGATTTCTTTTATGACAATTGGTGTAAAACAGCTGCCACTCACCTATCAATCATACTAAGCAAATTGTCATATAATCGAACAAAATTCAATTATCAATCATACCAAGCAAATCATCACATGATCGAATAAAATTTAACTAAGTTTCAATTATCAATCATACCAAGCAAATCGTCACATGATCGAACAAAATTTAATCAAGTTTCAATTATCAATTATACTAAGTAAATCATCATATGATCAAACAAAATTCAACTAAGTTTTGATTATGACAAATCATCTCAATAAATTACTGTATCAGATTAATTAGCTTTATTTTTTATTTAATTAAATTCACTTAATTAAAACAATAATATTTATCGAAATTAATAATAAATTTTATAATATTCTGTAACAACTGAAAATAGATTATATGAATTACAGCTAAATGAATTATTCTAACATATCATCATAATAATTATCATCGTTCGCAAGCTCATACTCATCGCCACTTTTGACTGTCTTTCTTTGTCTTAAAGCTTTCTTATAAAGTGAATAATCAGACTGTAGAAGTATATCACGAATTTCACCATAGGTAGACGATTTGCTTCTTTGATGCTCTTCATCAACATCAATTAAGATTCGTCTTTCTTCATATGATAGTTGATTTTGAGTATCTTTATCTGACAATTGATTTTGATTATCTTCATCTAATGGTTGATTTGGAATATTTGGAGTTTTTTCGTATTTAAAATCTGTCTCGTAGAGTATGTTTTGATTAATATATATCCATTCAGAAGTATTATAAGGGTATGGTATTTTGCAGTTATAAGTATTATCATTGTAGTTTTGATGTCTTGTCAATTTTGATGCTTATAATGATAATGAATGCAGATTGAATATCTTGTGGAGAAGGTGTTTAAACTAATAAAAAAAACTGATATTAATATTGTGAAAATAAAACTTACTGAAATTTGTTAAATAAAATAATAATACTTCATCTGATCGTCACAACAAATCATAAACATTGATATTTTGACTCAAATTTTCATCATCAGTTTCGCTCAATTTAGGTAAATGGTAACCATTATCTTTCAATATATTTAATATTTCTGACTGGTCATACTTTGCTAATCGTATGTCTTTCATTGAAAAAAGTGATTTTACGTCTTTAATTCAACGTATTTTTTTATATTTAATGAAAACTTTAGTTAATAAAATAATTGCAAGACAAAATATTAACCAGTTATTTATTTATTTCATTAAGATGATTATTGTTATGTAAGCGTCAGTTATCTTAATCAAGTTTTCCATTTTTCCTGTATATATATCAGTTTCTTCTGTATTTGTGTAAAGCTTGTAACCAGCTCTTCAATTGTTCATAAGAAGAATTGTATCTCAGCTTCATTGCTTTAAGAAGTTTAGGTATTAATTTTTAATGAATTTCAGTATTGACATCACTTATGAAAGTTTCATCTTATTTTAGGTTAAGCTCAGGTGGTAAAGTCTTGAGAATTGACTTCATTTCGTTCTAATTATAAATAAAGAAACAATAAGATTAATATATGACTAATGAAAGTTAATCGATAAATTACAAATCCTTGCTCCTTCTATATTGAATTCCACTTCATTATCAATATGAGCTGTCTACTTTCTCTTAGATCCTTTAGATTTTTCTAGCTTTACGATATTTAACTAGTCGAACTGTAAGCTTATTTAACTCAACATCTGCTTCTGAGGTAAGATGATCATTACTGGAATATTATGATGATGATTGGGTCAATTGTAATGACTTTAGTAAGTGAAATGATCAAAGACGCTTAATTTTAGCATTTGGCTAATCATTTTCTTAGCCAAATGCTTCTTTATGTCTATCAACATCTGATTTTCATCTTGTAAACTCTTAATTTTTATCTTCAAAGTTTCCACTTGTCCAATGAATTCTTGATTTTGGTGCTTTAATTGATCATATTGTTTTCGTAAATCATAGATTTTCCATTTTAATAATTCATTATCTACTAAAAAGCAACAAAATATATTTATTTAGTAATTAGATTAATAGCATGCATAATTTGACTAAAAATTAGACCTATAAGTAAGTCTTTTGCCAGTGTTATTGTAGGAGTACTTGTAGCAGTTTTCTACCTATCGTCAATACTAATTAAGTTACTTGGCAAGCGAATGTTGGGGTTTTTTGCTTGCAATTCTCTAATATTGTTGGTCTCTAATCGACTTTTTAAAAAGAAGCTTTCTGTATTTCATCTTCTTGAGGGGGATGGAAAATATTTTGATTAATATCTTCTTAGGATAGAGTATTTGATCAAATATTTGGTCAAATACTTCTAATATTCTCTTGGGTTGAAGTAGGATGAATTTGACTAATACCTTCTTGAACAGAAGAAATTTGTTAAGTATAACAATATTGCTTAATATTATCTGATCGACTATTACATTTATTTCAGCCTTTGAAGAAACAGTATTTTGTTCAACTTCCTTTGTTCCTTCTAAATCTGGATTATGGTCAAATTTTTATCAAAAACTTTTTTATCTTTATGAAACATAATTTTAGTGTATAAAAATTATTATCTTTGTGTAGTTGTGTTGTGGTAAAAAAATACAGTTTATTAAACTTGGCAAAATAAAGAAAATTTATGTTTATTTATATAATCTTGTAAAGTTTATTAAGTGATTGATTGATACAGTGATATCTCTATAAGTGCACTCTCCTTGGGATCATAATAAAAAAATAATAGAATGTACAATTAGAGAGGGTGTGCATTTATAGAGAATAAAATATTAAGAGCTCTTATGAGTTAGAACCAAAGCCTACTGTGCA